GGACGTGCCGCCCCTCACCTACAATATGCAGTATTGGCGATGAAGATTGTTTCACTTCTCCTGCTGCAATACTCTTCACGGACACTCGCAAGAATGCGACCGATCGAACTGCCATCAACTACTTTTCAAGGGGCGTCGTTGGCATTTGCCACAGTATGCCTCTACAGCCATCACCCGATGACTTTAGTCGAGCGAAACTCACTCGTTTTTGCCACGTTTATGACGCCCCCTTACTTGACAGTACGCCCAACGAATGTGCCTGCTAAGACTGCCATTCCAAGGAGCCCTCCTGTTTCCCCACGGCTCGGGAATGCCTGTTCAGTTGAGTGGCCGCTGGAGACCTGAACATCTCGGATATCTCGGCGTACGAATGTTGGTGTCGTCTGCACGTAGTACGTCCGGATGTGTTATCCGTATAACAGGCAGAAACAACATCAACGGGCATGGCACCACCGTCGGCCGATCGGCGAGGCGCTCTAGTCTTCCTTCATGGCAGTGGCGGCAATGGGGATGACATGAAGGAGTGGCTGGAGCTCATTCAGGTCCCTGGTTTTAACGAATCGTTCGTAGAGCTCTTGAAAACGAGGAACGTTGAAGTGTATACTCCCACGGCCAACGTGCTTCCGTATCCGCCATGTGGGAACTCGCTGATGCACGTGTGGTTTACGCGCCAAGTGAATTGGAACGCATTGGGATGCGGTGGAGCGGAAGATTTGCACCACACAGACGTGTCCATGGACGCGATTGCAAACCTCGTGGATTCCTTGGAAGCCACGCACGACTTTGTCGTCCTTGGTGGGTTTTCCATGGGTGGCTGCCTCGGATTGCATGCGTTGCGACGACGTTGGTCGACTAAAGTCAAGGGCGTGTTCGCGATGGGAAGCTTCTTGGTCTCGTCGTCCCAAGTGTTGACGGGGGACCTACGTGCGAAGCACTTGCCCGTGCTCATGATGCATGGCACCGACGATGATGTGACCCGAACTGAATATGGTGCGGCCACTGCAAAGACTCTAGTCGCACGGGGCGTTGCTGCTCAGTTCAAAACATACGAGCAGACTGCTCACACGGTCAGCGGTCACGAGCTGTCCGATTTGTACGAGTGGCTCGTCGGACTCGCTTCAAGTTTGCAAATAACCAATGCTACTAAGACATGAAAGCTTTCGCAATACGCGGCATACACAACACAATGTTGCGAGGAAGTGGGTTTCAACTGGTGGTGCAAGGGCAAAGTCTCGCTGTCCTCGAGTCTGCTCGAGGCACTTGGACCTCAGCAGCACACTGACGAGGGCTTTCTGGACCGCTGAAACATCGAGTCGATGGAGAAATCCATGAAAGTGGAGGATGTGGGGGCTCAAGTAGTCGCCACCGCCCGCGAAACGCATCGACAAACGGTGAGTGCATCAAGTTGTGAATCGATGATAACGTTGAGAAGTGCGCTGCCGCCTTGAACGGGATGAGGTCCCCCGCTCACTTTTCCAGCATACCGAGAAAACGAACAGTGCCAGCAGCCACTCACGCGCCCCCTTGCCTCCACTTAAATCCCTCGACACCCATCTCGCTGCCGATCTTGCTGCGATTGTTGCAATGCCGCGTGGTTCTTGGATCACCGACAACCAGCCTCCTTTCTCCAGCACTTTCTTGCCCAGCAACACCTCGATACAATCGTACAATATTCGTAGTTGAAAGGCATGGATTACTTGGATAAGTACTTGTTCAACAGCGTCGACGTCGAGCTGTTAAAGCCTTGGACTGGAGCGCTGCTCTTGCGCGAGGCAGAGAGTTGGTTGCGCACTTGGGTCGCAAGAACCTTGCCGAGCTCGACGCCCCATTGATCAAAACTGTTGATGCCCCACACTGCGCCTTGGACAACCGTGCGGTGTTCGTACAGCGCGAGGAGCTGGCCAGCGCTGAAGGCATTCAAGTGGCCTTCAAACAGCAGCGATACAGACGGGCGGTTGCCAGGGAACGCTTTGTGCGGCTTCAGGGTGTCCGGGACGTTGGTCAGCTCGTCGATCGATTTGCCGTTCGCCAACGCATCTGGCTGGGCGAAAAAGTTGCTCATGAGTTCGTCGTGGTTGCTCACGGCCTCGCCTTCCAAGTCGACGGGCGCTTGCGACTTGCAAAACCCGATAAAGTCGCACGGGACCACGCGACCTTGGTGCACAAGCTGGTAAAAACTGTGTTGGCCGTTCGTGCCGGGCTCGCCAAAGTTGATTTCACCCGCCTGGAACGGCAACTCGACACCGTCCAAGTCGACGCGCTTCCCATTCGATTCCATGTCGACTTGCTGGATGTGCGCGGCAAAGCGAAGCAGCGCTTGGGCGTATGGGAGCATGGCCTAGAGGAATCGCGTTCGATACGAACCCGTCAAACAACAAAACATGAGGTCGACTTACGCGAGTGGCATGGCCAAGGAAGGAGGAGTTCCATACACCCAACAGTCCCAAGATCACAGGCAAATTGGAGCGCAGCGGCGCCGTCAACAAGTGCGTGTCGATGTCATGGGCGCCCGCCAAGAAAGAGTCCGTAATGTCTGCGCCGTAATGAATCGCCAATGGAACGATCCCGACGGCACTGCACACACTGTAGCGTCCGCCGACCCAGTCCCAGAACCCAAACACGTTGGAAGGGTTGATGCCGAACGCTTCCGCCTTGGGGACGGCGGCACTGACGGCAATCATGTGGTGGCGGATGGCATCCGCGGCGCTCACACCTTTCTTCGCGAGTGACTTGACGAGCCAGTCACGGAGCGTGCGGGCATTCAACATGGTTTCCGCCGTCGTGAATGTTTTGGACACGATGATGACCAGCGTGTGCTCCGGGTCAAGACCTTCGATGGCGCGCGCGGCATCCACAGGGTCGACATTGGCCAAGAAGCGCAATGTACGGCCAGCGGCGGCGGCTTTCGCGACAGGTTCGTGCTTGAGAGCTTCAAACACAAATTCGGGACCGAGGTAGCTGCCGCCGATACCGATGGACACGACGCTCGTCAAGTGCTTGCCGGTGGCACCCACATGCGCGCCAGTGCGAACTTTGTCGGAAAACGCACGAATGTTTCGCAACACGTTGTGGACGTCGTCGACAACATTCACGCCGTCCACATACAGCGGCTTGTTGGCCGGACTGCGCAGCGCGATATGCATCACGGCGCGGTCTTCCGTCGTGTTGATGTGTTCGCCAGCGGCCATGGCGGCGAGTTTCTGGCGCAGTTGTGCCGTGTCGGCCAGGTCAAACAGCATATCCAACGTTTGGGTCGTCGCGTTTTGACGGGAAAAGTCAAGGTGGATGCCGTTGTACTCGGCCGAGAGCTCGGCGTTGCGGGCTTCGTCCTTGAGCAAGGTCTTCAAGTGGGTCGTCTCCTTGATCTCCTTGGCGTGGGCTACGAGGCGCTTCCATTGCGGGGTGTCGTAGATCGTCATGGCGTCGGCAAAAGTGAGCGGGGGGTGCGAAGAGAGATTTACAATGGCCAACTCGATTGTCTTTGGAAACCCATGAAGTGCGCGTATTCTTTTATACAGGTTTCGCTCGCATACACAAAATCAGATGACGTGATGTATTGATAGAGGTTTGGAAGAAATCGATTGATAAAGTGTATCGAATTTGGAATATCTCGCTTCTGATTGGCTCAACGTGTCGAGTCAATCCCTTCCTTTCCCGACGTCATGCGGGGTCCCGGCGTCGCATGCATGTCACTAGAAGTGGCTCGCTCAGCGTGCCCTGCCAGATCCCGAGGAGAAAGCATGAGTACATGGGCTAAATGGCTTCCTATTCCCAAGCTATGGTGTGCTTTTGGACGTTGACCACTACGCTGGGTTCAGCTGAATGCGACGGGCGTAGACAGGTACGACAACCTCTCAAGATCGACACCACAAACGGGACGGCGTGTGGACCAAGGCGGTCTTGGACTACTTCCATCCACGAAGGAGGCTCGTCTTCCGTGTCGAGCTGTCGGGCGCTTCCTTGGCCACAACCACGACCGGGCCAACGTCGCGAGTCGGGAGCTCGACCACACACGACTTGGCCTTTTCTTGGAGCAACTGGATCACAACTGCATCGTCTTTCGACTTCTCGTCGGCGATGCGCATCATTTCTTCTAACGACGCCATCGACGCTTCCATCTTGGCCATGGCGCGACTACATTCGCGACTCCTTAACAACCAACTGGAACCAACCCAACACATCGTCTCCGTCGATCCTTCCCGTCACTTTGAATGCATAAGAGATCAAATCATACCTCGCTTCGTCCGACTTGGCCTTGAAATGTCTTCGCTCTGCTTCCAGGCGCTGCACAAGATCGCCATTTCGTTTCTACACGCACCGGTCACCACAGCACGGTCGCAATGAACAAAAGCGTTTGCCCACCAATTGAGACGCTATTGCTTCGTCACGTGGATGTACCGCTCGAGGACGCACGACGAGGTGCGGGAACCGCGAGAAGTCGAGCTTTATCGGCAGCAAAAACGAAGGAGTTTCGTCGATGCCAACGATCGGTGGGGACGTGGCGCGTGGAGGCATCGGGTGCACTTGCGTCGAGGGCAATTGATCCAAAAACGCGATAGCGCGCTGCCGTCTGTCGGACATGCGGCCTACAGCATGCTCCATTGAACCAACACGATGGATGAATCAGGGAAGCGCGTACTCTGGTCATCCTCCACGGCCATCTCTGCATTGCACTGCTGAGCTCGACAGACTTCACGAAGGAGGTCCATGTTGGTGTCGTACTCGACGTCATGAAGGATTCGCTCGCTGATGGTGAGCTGCTGCTGGATACGCATGCGCAGCAGTCGGCGAACTGACGGATCGGCGTCAGGCACGGGCTGGCGGTCGCCGCATGGTACTTGGGCACGAACGTCGCGTATTTGTATGCGCTCCAATGCTTGGATCTCGCGCACGCATTGATGTCGCACGCGCGCTTTTTCATTTTGAACTGCCAGGATTTGACAAAACATGTCACGCCAGACGCGGTGGAACTCGTCGTGGCGTTCGCGCTCGTGCTGCACCATATCGTACCGAAGCGCTCGGAGTCGAACCTCCATGGCTTCCTTTTCCGCTGCGGCCATCGCACGTCGCTCGGCAGCTTCGGCATGCTGCATCTGAGTGCGGGTTTCAATTTCGTGTTCCTTTTGTGCAATGTCGAGCATGTCTCGGTCGAACTCGTGCTGTGCCGCGTCGACGGCTCGCATGTGGTGGCTCAAGGTGTCTTCCAGGCCAAGCTGAATGTTGGCCAGTTCCATGCGCCAGAACTCTTGCACGCAGTGGAGTTTCAACTGGAACGCAGCTTCTTGGGCCGCAGAGTCCGTGGCGAGGGCGGCGCATGCGTCGCGGTACTTGCCGTCGAGCTCGATCGTCACTTCTTCCTGCCACGCCTCGTCTTGGATCGACAAGACGCGAAGCGCTGCTTGCTTCTCCACGTCAAGGTGATCCCGCCAGGCAGTCAACTGGGCCCGCAACTCTTGTTCGAGCTGCAACTTGTCTGAATGCAACTGCTTGCGCTGGGCGACTTGAGCCTCTTCAAGCAACTGAAACATGCGACTGTGGTTGTCCCGTTGCATTTCGAGCTGCGCGGTGTGGCGGGCCTCCATTTCCTTTAATTTGACGTCGATCGCTGCCGCGGCTTCGTCGTAAAAGGCTTGCTGGTTCTCATTCAAACGGAGCGCCACCACACGTGCCGACTCGTGAGTGAGCTCAGCTAGTTCCTTCTGCGACGCGATGCGTTCTTCATGCTGGGAAATCTGCAAGCGAATGCTAAACAGATCCCTAAAGCCCACAGACATTGCAATCAACTACTTGGGTCGACGAAGAGGTCCCACCTGGCATGGGCATCGTGCATCGCAGTCATTTGCGCCAGGTGCGTTGAAAGTCGGTCCTCCTTTTGCATGTACAGACTGCTCAACGCTTCCATCCATCTCTCCTGCGCAGCGTGGAGAGCCACATCCTGGTCCCGTGCGCTTTCATCCGCCTCGCGCTTGAGCTCTTGGATGCGCCGATGCAAGCGCGCTTCCCTTTCGTCCATGTCCAACTGCATAACTTGCCACTGCGCCTCGAACATGCGTTCACATTGACCGTGTTCGCGCACCCGCGCGTCCTCCAAATCCATGCACCACCGTTCGTGGTTTCGTAGCGCATGGGCAAGGGCGTCCTCTGACCGTGCGACCGCATCCGCTTGGACGGCATGCAACCTGGCCATGGAAGCTTCCCCTCGCTCGATTTCGCTCGCGCACTGGACTTGAACTTGAGACAACGCCCACGCTTGCCGCCGTTGGCAGTCTTCATATGCTTGCATCCACCGCTCCTCGTCCTGCAAGAAGCACACCGCATCGCCGTGAAATGCCATGTCGACGTCGCAACGTTGGGAACCCGCGACTAACCTGAGCATGCAGCAGTCGATGGTCTTGAAGTATTGTAGCATGGTGAGCCGAGATGTCCGCGCAGGTCGTTTTATGGGCAAACTCGACGTCGTCGAGCAATGCTTGCATGCGTACGACTTCAGCGTCGTGGTCTCGTTGGCGCTGGAGCTGCTCCTCGTCGAGTTGCTGTCGCCGCAGCTCGTGCGCACGATGCCAAGCGTCCACTTGGGCTTGGTGGTCGTTGGTCATGTCGATGACGTGCTTTGCCATCGAACCAAGCGAATCTTCAGTGGACGCGTGCACCCGCTCGAGGCATTCTTGGTGGCGCTCAAGCAGCTCCGCCATGCGCATGACGTGCGCTTGGTTGGCGTGGTTGTGCTTTTCGATTTCGACCCGCTCAACGTCGCTGCACTTGGCTCGCAGAGCAGCTGCTTCCGCATCTAGTGTCCGTTGCTTTGTGTCGTATCGATCGCGGTACGAGTCAACAACGTAAGCGGCTGTGGAATGCGAACGCATGGTTATTTGAACGGCAGCGAGAGCGGCGAGCGTCGCCGAGTGACGCGACCGCACGTCTTCGATTTCCATCGCCTGCGCATTCACACGTTGCTGTTCGGCGGCTTTCAGTTCTTCCTCTTGGACATGGTACCGAGCTACGATGCTGGCGCATTCCTCGCGCCGCTTGGCTTGCTGCGATTCAAACGCCACATTCAAGTCGCGTAGAATCTTATCGTGGCATTCGTGCATGCGTGCGAGTCGGGCGTCGTGGTCTGCTTGCAACGCATCAAGGTTGCGCTCCCATTCTGCTACGCGATCGACGACCTCGGCATCTTGTTGAGCGATCGCTGCCTCCAATTCAGCCGTGTCTTCACGGATTGCTTGGACCTCAGCAGTGTGACGCTGAACGAGCTGCTTCATGAACCGAGCGTGTTGAACCGACTCGTTGGTGGCCTTGGCGTCAAAATTTGCGAGGAAGGCCCGCCATGCGTCGTCTCGAGAGGCCATGGCGTGCGTGTGATCGGCCTCGGCGGCGTCGCGCCGACGACCGTGAGCTGCAATGGCCGATTGATTCTCATCTTCGGCAACGTGCATGCTGTGCTGGAGGATGGCAAACGACAGCACGCACTTTGCATACCGATCTTCATGGGCGATTTGGATTGTTTCGATGGCCTGCCGGATCTTTTCGCGGTGGACGTCGTGCTCGGCAACAATTTGCCGAACTTTGTCTTCGTGCTCTGCATGCAGGGCTTGCAAATCGAGCTGCTTCTGGTCAGTCCACGCGACTTGCTCGAGTTCCCGGTCCCGCAGGGTCGCGTCCGTCGCCCGGACAAAGGCTTCTGTATCCCTTAGAAACCGTTCCTCCTGCGCCATTCGGACCATCTCCATGTCGTAGAGCTTGAGCGCGACTGCGTCCTGCTGGTTTCGGAGTTCCTTGGCATGCATCGCTCGCGTTTCGCACAGCACCATGTCGGCTTCCGCGACTAGTGACGCACATTTGGTTTCCCACTCGGCCATTTTCAAACGGAGTTTGTCTTCGTCTAGCGCGGCTTGGACGCTCATGGCCGTCAATTCTTGCACGTGGCGGTGGCACGTCGCTTCGATCTCGTCCATCCAATTCTGCCGGCTCTGTTGGTGCGCCTGGATCGCAGCTTCCATCTTCGAAGCCATTGCGTTCTCCAGCAATGTCATGGATTCCCGATGGGCGACCGACGCGGCATCCAGTTGCGATGCTTGCGCTGCGACCAACTTTTCGTGTCGGTCGTGCTGGAGGTCGAACGACGCTTGGAATTGCGTCTTTTCGTGGGCGCACTGGTCATTCAGGGCAAAACACAGCGACGCAAACCGGCCCTCCAAGTCTACAATTGCAAGAGTCAGTCGCGTCGGTGGATGAACCGGTGAAATACTGGCGATGGTCTTGGCTGCCGACGAGAGCTGCAGTGTTTGCGCTTGTGACCACAGCGCAATCTGTTGTTTGCATTCCGCGCTGAGTTCCTGCAACAGCCACGCCAGCGGCTTGGACGATGCGGGTGTGTCATGCCAGAGGTCGTGAATAGCTTGGGCTTGAATCTCCAGAAGTCTCACGTTGTCAGCAAGTGCTGCGGGTCGTTGGAGGGCCTGGAAGAGGGAGGGGAGGATGGACAGGATGTGCGTGAGAGGCTTGTCTCTATCCACGTACCGGTGATTGACCTCCCAAGATGGACGTAAAGAGTTGGTGGAGCTGAATGAGGCGATCGTTGATGGCGGGATCGACGGATGGCGCCGGAGGGGAGAGCATGGGCTGTGGGGGGGTGGCCTTGGCGATTCCGTTTTGAAGTTGCTTGTCTTTTTTCTTCAGCAGCAATTTCAACTTGGCAAGTTTACGCTCCAGCACGAGCTTTTCCTATGGACTCAGCACAGGGAACGGTTGAGGGCACACGGCAATCCGATGCGGGGGGGGGCTCACTGTTTCGTCAAACTGAATGCTAGAGTCACACCGATGCTGGGTTCCCGCCGACGTTGTTGGCGTGTGGGTTTGCGTGGTCGCGTCGGCCATCGTTATGCACGGTTCGCGTGTTCGTTCTAGGCATCGACAGATATGAGGTTGGACCGACGTCGATTCGAGACGTGGTGATGTACCTTGGTGGCTTGCGGCGGCATCCACTTGGGTTGCTACGTCCTGGCAAGGCGGACTGGCTGTGTCACGCCAAGCATCCATTAGCGGCAAGAGAGCATCCATTGGCATTACCGTCGTCAACGGCAAGGGGGTCGCATTGCGTGGCCTTCTCCAGGCGAGGGGCTGGTTCTATGCGTGATTTCAGGTGCTTTCGTCCATTCGTCACGTCAAGCGAGCTCCCTACCACGGTTGCCGCTCGTGGTCGGGGGGCGTGTTGGCAGGACGTCTAGTCGTACGCATGGAGGGTAAAATGTGCCCCGTGGAATCGAAGCTCGGTGATGAGGCTAGAGTCGTGCACACACCTGAGGGAGGATGGGAGGACTTTGCAGCTACCAACTTGTCGAGCAGCTCGTTGTGCGCCACGTGCCAGTCCACGTTCGTGGCGCAGTCGTTCGTGTGCACCGCATCGTACCGAAACACGTGATGGGAGCCGAGGATGACCCGGGCGCCGTGCACCAATTCGGTCGTGTCCTCGATGGTGTAGCCGTTCACGAGGACTTGTGCTGCCGCGGCGGGACGGATCCGTACAACACCGTTGGCGCAGTGCAAAATCGTGTGCAGTGGCAGCATGTCGGCGCCTGCGAGCACGACGTCTGGCACCAAATCGTCGTCGCCAGCACCCACAGTCGTAATGCCTTCTTCGATACAATACACGACTCGCTCCGTGTACCGAGGATCCTGGTGCACGCATCAGTTGCCTCCCTGGTCGCGGCCACATAAACCTGGTTTAGGTTGACCAAATGCGGCAACGATAGCGTGCTGCAGTTCATGTGCGGAATCCAGTCGGCGTGGTCGTCGAGTTGGGGCGTGGTGGAGGCATCCAGAGCGTCGTGGTGAGTGTTCATGTCGTCGGGTGCATGGCTGCCGAGGTCTGTATGTTGCTGGGCAATTCGCAACTGACTTCGAAGCATGCACAGTTCCAAACGGAGTTGTGCGACGGCATCTGGAGTGTCGACCGAGGCAGGTGTCGGCAGGGGAGCCTAACGGCACGTAGTAAGGTACCACGATAGGGGCCTCGCCTTCGCTTCCACGCAATACGATCCAAGCCAAACTGTGGGGTACCAGCCACCGCGCATTCCCGCCAGTTCAAACGGACGACAAACATGCAGGAGCACCTACCGTGGGCGGCGTGACAAGGGCTAGCTTCGACCGCTCGACGTACTTGAGCGTGCTCAGCGTTTCATCGTAGTGTATGCAGCACGGGCTGATGGCTGCCAGCATATAGAGCCGCGCCGACCCGGACAAGCTGTCCTTGAGCAGCCTCGTGAGCACTGAGTTGCGATACTGGACAAATCCATTGACCGAAGAAGAAGGAGGAGGACACCCCCTACAAGTTGCCCTCTGGTCAAGCCATGTCGGCTCCAACCGAAGTAGCGTACAGGGCTGTCATTGCCGGGCTGCATTTACTTGCGGCGGCTTGATTGGATGTTGCAAGCGCGTTGATGACGTCCCCCAGCGCGCTCAGCGACTTGTTGATCGCGGTGGCTTCCCGCAACCGATCGCCTGATGCCAAGTCGGTGCGCTCGCTGCCGGCCAAGTCGACCATGCACAGCTTGGTGGGCGGACTTTTCTTGTCAAGCCAATGCAACGTCAGGGTGAGAATTGCATGCGACCGAGACGAGAGCTGGTTCATGTGGGTCGCGGCAACCGTGCGGGTCTTGTTGCCTTCGGACAGTAGGTACTCGACGTCGTGGGCGCTCGTGACGACGAGATTTGACACATGCTCGACATACGTGCCTTTTTCCGGGTGCTCTCGAACCTTGAGAGGACCCTATGGATGCTGCTTAGACATGTGATCGAGAGAGACCAGCCAAGGAAGGGCGAGAGAGATTTACTTGAGAGTTGCGTTGGAGCAGGTCGAATACCCGCTCGTTGTAAATTTCAACGAAGGTCATTTTGACGGTGCATTGCGGTGGGAAAGGAAGAGGGGCGGTCACGCTGACGGGGGTGACGTTGGGCGGCGCCTCCATCGCGCCGAATGTAGTCATGGAGGGGTCTCGAGTTTCGTCTGGGTTGGCTTCATTAGACTGCCGCTGCATCGTCTCAAAGAGCGCCTGGCAAATGCGAGGGACGAGCCCACGTGCCTCATGGTGGTTACTTCGAGACTTTCCCATCATGCTAAACGACTTGCCCGCGCCAGTTTGCCCATATGCAAACAGGGACACATGGACCCGCTTCCATGCTGTTGCTAGCATGTGTGACCCAATGCGGTCGAACACGTATTGCTGGTCGGCATGATTAGCATGATCGGGGTCGCAGCTCCAGAAACTGTGGTCGTATGTGAATGTTTGGGACCACACCTTGGCTTTGGCCTCGGCCGACAAGGACGGGCGCTTGATGGGGCTGGGGTCGGACGAGATGGCGAATTTTGACGGACTCCCCGTCGGGTTGAGCTGCGCTGACTGACGGCGGCGAAATGATGACGCTGCTGAAGCTGTGGGGCTCAACCCTGCAGGGTCAACGACTGTGGTTTGGTTGCCCACCATCGTGATAATCGAACGGCACCCTGCCTTCCGTTCGTCGTCGGACATGGGCCGTACACGGACTGCCGTCACAACGCTTGCGTCATCCTCCTGAGCCCATATCATGGTCGTTTTGCGTCAATGATCAGCTAGGTTAAGCCGAGAGAACGTCCAGCCCACAGGGAATCGACATGCGCGTCTGGCGGGGGCGGCGCGGCAGTTGGAAAATGTAACTGTCGCGGACACTTCACCGGATAAACAAGACTATTATCCGGAATAGTCACCGCACGATGGCCGAAGTGGCGGCGCCGTCCACGTCGGTCGTGTTTATCTGCACGAGTAACACATGTCGGTCGCCAATGGCAGAAGCATGGGCCAGGCAATGGATCACCGAGTGTCATCCGCGGGCTTCCCATATCACGGTCTCATCTATGGCACTCTCCGACGCGTACGAACCTCCAGGCAGCGCTGCCTCCCCGCATGCCGTGTCAGCCATGCAGCGACGAGGCATGGACTTGACCCGGCACCGGTCCCGCCTAGTCAATGAAGCCTTGGTCAAACAAGCAGATATCCTTGTGTGTGTGACTGCTAGACATGAGCGACTCTTGCGTGACCAGTTTCCTCACATCGACGTTCCCATCCATGTGTTCGCGCAGGACGTGCCAGATCCATGGCACCGTGACCTGGCCGCCTACGAAGCGTGCGCCGCACAACTACACAAACAACTTCAAGTCCTCTTACCGTCATTGCATGTATAATTTGAAAACAAATCCCTTGCCGCCTATGGTTTTCTCGCAAACGACGGCAGTTGTCCAGACGGCTTTCGCAGGAGACTCGACACGCCAAACAAATTCAAACACTTTTTCCGCTGTGTGATGGCGCTAACGCCTCGACGGCCCGAGCTTGTGGCTGAGCTAGGCGCACAGTTTCCTCGACCTGAAGACACAGCCATCGTTTCCTGCCGTTGGGCTAGCGTGCTTGGTCGGTCGAACTATACATGTAGACAGAGCATCGTTGTGCCAAGGGCTTGGGGGTTGTTGTCGAGCGCCAAAGTATGGGTGGCAAGGCACTTTTCCAGTTGGAAGCCACGTTGCATGGGGTGGGACGACTGCCTCGCCCGCACAGCCTGTACAGTAGTTGAGGTTGCTCACAACGATGGGCGCTGGATCGAACTCGGAGCACCTTTGACCAAACAACTCGTCCACGAACCAACTCACAAGGTGCCCCCCTCAGGTTGGCCACACATCCGTCGCCAGCGCTGCCCACGTGCAACACATTGAAAACCGGGGCGGGCAGAGGGGAGCCGACTGATCGACGTCGCACCAACCTGGTCTCATGCGCACCTGCTCATTCCGTTCGGTGTCCCCCTCTCTACACACCCGAAATGATACCGCTCGTGTGGGCTGTCTCGAGGCTCGCACGACACATCGTCGACTTTCTCATGCTGACAAGCGAGCGACCCGCGATCTGCACTTGGTATCAGTGTCCCAAACCCACACTTTCATAATGGTGAATCCGCTGACACGGTGCACGGAAGACTACAGCCTCCCGCCGTACGCTGTGCTCCGCGCGTCGGACGTGGCCCCCGCAGTTCGAGCAGCCATCGCAGAGTACACACTTGACTTGAACGCCCTGGAAGATGACTTGTGCGAAGCCGACTTGAGCACCCTGACGTGGGAATCGGTCATGGATCGACTTGAAATCATCGACGACCCGCTCGAGAAACTTGCGACCATCTTGAAACACCTTTCGTGGGTCACAAACTCGCCCGAGCTACGCGCGGCCTGTGGCGACGTGCAGTCCGACATTGTCGAGATCAAGAGCCGTTGCGCCCACAGCGACATCGTGTTTCGAGCGCTTCAGGCTCTCCGTGCGAGCCCCGCGTACGAGGCCGACTTTACGGTCGAGCAGCAGGTACGTCCACGCGTTGTTGCCATGCAAAGACTTGAGGCTCGTGGTTCGATGGCGGTGTTGTAGCGCATTCTCGACCGCGCAATCTTTCAAGCCAAGTTAAAAGGAGCGACGCTCAGTCCCAACGACAAAGAGCGGTTCAAGGACATTTCCCTTCGACTTGATTACCTGGTAAACACTTCGTACCCACACGACGGCCGCCATGCGCTCGCCCTTGCCAACCACTCGTCCCTGCGTAGAAAAAAGTCTTCGATGAGAATCTCCTCGATGCCATTCGGTCCTTTTCGCTCATCGTCACAGACAAAGATGAGCTAGAGGGGGTGTCGCTCGCCACAAGGACGCTTTTGGCCAAGGTACGACTGCACCACCCTCTTGAAATCTAGAACGGCTTGGCATCTTACTTGCCGGGCCACATCATCCAGCACGTGTATGCGTAACGAGAGCTGTGTAGAATGCCGTCATGGACGGCCACAGAAGAGCGACGGCGGCGACAGGACCATGGAAGCTATCTCTGGACTTTGCGGCGTTCATGCCCGTGATGAAGCAGTGCAGCCACCGACCGACGCGGGAAGTGCTGTATCGGGCATTTATGACCAAAGCGAGCACTCCGCCGTTCGACAACACACCGATCATCGGCGAAATCTTGCAACTACGCCAAGCCCACGCACACCTGTTAGGGTTCCAGTCGTATGCAGAGCTCAGTTTCCAGGACAAGATGGCTCCATCCGTCCAGGTAGTCGACGACATGCTATGCGAGCTGCGCGACAAGTGCCTGCCGCTGTCCAAGGCTGAGCTGGACAATGTCGCAGCTTTTGCAAAACAGCACGGCCACACATCGCGCTTGGAGTCTTGGGATGTGGCGTTCTGGTACATTTCGTTGCACGGACAACTGGCTCAAGTTGGCTACACAGGTCGGAGAAACTTCGGATGGCACAGTATGCCGTCGACGACGAAGTGATCAAGCCATACTTTCCACTGCCCAAAGTACGTTCGCCAAGGGTCGACGAGTACCAGTGACGTGTGCTTGTGGCAGGTGCTGGCCGGGCTCTTCCAGTTGTGTTCGGACCTGTTTGGCATCGACATCGAGGTTGGAATGGCAGCATGATGGCCTGGTGAAGCATGAGCCTTGACACGTCCGTGTAGGCGGCAGATGGACTGGAAAAGGTGTGGCATTCGGACGTGTCTTTCTTTCAAGCGCGAGCAACCGACAAGCCAGGGGCCCCGGTCGTCGGGCAATTCTTTGTGGATCCGTACTCACGACCGGAACAAAAGCGCGTGGACACGTGGTGCACACCGATCCTGAACCGAAGCAAGGTCCTCCGGACAGCCAAGGCTCCCGTGCGGCTTCCAGTGTTCAGTCTCGAATGTAATCACCCCCCGCCGGTGAGGCCACCTAACGTGGATGGGCCGTCGACACGAGCTAAACGCTGCTGCAGGGGGGCGACGGAACGAGCAGCCTCCTGTCGTTCAGCGACGTTCTCAACTTGACCTACACATTTGGCCATGGCATACGCATGATGCTAACCACGGCCGACCACACGGCGGCGTCGTCCGTGGACGGCATCGAAGGGGACGCGATCGAGATCCCGTCTCAGTTTCTGTCGACGTTTTGTTACCGTCCTGGTGCGTTGACTGCTTTATCGTGAGGGGCTATCGCTGCAACGTCCAATGTGTAGAAGTGTTGCGCATGATGTCGGGCCATTTTGTCACGGGGGCACCGATGCCGGACGAGTTGGTCGACAGCATTGTGAAGAGCCGCAACTTTATGGCAGCCACCGAATTGCTGCGGCAGCTCCGGTTGGGAGCGACGGACTTGGCGCTACATCACTCTTACGACCCGTACTCGATGACCGTGTCAGCTTTCGACGTTCACCGGAGCATCTTTGCATCGTACGTCTGTGCGGGGAGTCCATGATGTGATAGCATTGCATGAAGCGACTACACTACCACCACCACCACTAGGTTTTCCGTACAGCCGCCTTACGAACACGACAAGAGCTTGTGCAGCTTCAACCATATCTTCTCGCTCACGTACGCGGCGGGCTACTACTCGTACGATCGCTTCGATTCCGTTGGCGAGGGAGACCTCATGGGAAACATAGATATATCTGGTCCAGCATGCTGACCGCCGACATGGGCGCTTGCACCACCGACCAAGAAGAATGGCAAGACGTCGGTCGCCGCTTCCGAGACAAAGTCATCGCGAACCTCGGCATTCTCGATCCCATGACGGCGTACAAGCTGTTCCGCGGCCAGGTCCCTCGTGCAGACGCGCTACTTGCTCGTTACGGGCTGATATGAAGCACTCGCCTTTGTGCTCGTTCGTTGGGCCATCCCAGTTCAAACATACGAGAATTTGGAGAGTGAAGCATGCCAGCCACTCAAGAAGTATTCGCTACCTTCACATCAGCATGCCTAGTGCTCTGTGTTAAGTCATTTACTGCCGCAAAGTTCCCGGCAACTGTGGCATTCGTTTGGACCGACAAATTCAAACGAGATTCACTTCCAAGGAGATGAACTCGCGACCGCTACACCACCACGTGATGATTCAATATCGAGAGGTTTGCTAGGTGGCTCAAGCAACTCCATGTGCTGCCGAGATCTCCAGGCGAGGAAGACCCGATTGTGCTCATTCGGAAATTTTCTATTGGATTGCAAGGGCTGTGTCTAGAGTTCATAAAGGACGTCTAACGCTGTCGACCAAGCCCGAGCGCCGTCGACGAGATCCACTGGGACGTGTGGTTTAAGACCACGGCCATGGACACACTTGACCTCGGCGCCTCTTGCACCGGCGCTGCTGCATCGTTGGTGTGGCAGTTCGACAAGCCAGCCGTTGGGGAGCTGAATCTGCAGCAGTCCCGACGCACGTCCGGCGGTAGTGTCCCCGATGCACTTGGTACGCTTTCGATGTCGCAGCGCCAGGACCAGCAATTCCGCCGTCCTATGGAGTCCATGATCAAGCGCTCGAAACGACGACAGAAAAATACCCTGCCGTGTGAGCACTCTGCAGCACGACAAGTGGACCGTTGTAGTAAGTTGGGAGTTGCGACTCCGATGCTGCAGCTGACGGTACATGGAACGTGCGGCGCCGGACGCGTCCCCACGTTTTCAATGGTTCTTCGATCTCAAACGCAGGTGTGCGCGGAGGAAGGAACATGGCGGCGGCGGCAAGAGCCGCTTGCGGGCTGCCGCCGCCATGATTCCAACGCAGGTCCAAAATCACCCCTGTGTTCTTGGTTGATTCAAGCAGCGGGCGCACCACAGATTGCAACGCCCATCGCATAGCTTCCACATCAAACAGTTCTGGCACTGCCGCCTACGACCAAAACCACACGTCAGCAACGTGTTCGCTGAAGCAGGACGAACCGGTTGGGACGGCGGGGACAAGAGGTCGAGAGGAAAGGATCGGTCGACGAATCCAACCATGGCATCCAAGCGAACATACAGCACGGTCCTGCTTGACTGTGTTAACGTTAAGGTAGAAATGCGCGGCGCAACTTGAACGAGTGGTGGGAATTCAAGGTGCGCGCTGGTCGGTCGAAGTGATGTGGATCGCTCCGACGACGGAGTCTGGAGGTCAAGCGTTGTCTCCATGCCATTTTGAGACGAGTGCGACAACGATTCACACGCCTGCGGATGCAACAGCCTGACGGAAGGATCCCCCAGCAGCGCCATGGAATCGACGATTGCAGTCCAAAGGTCGTCTTCACTCGTCGACGTGTCAATCTTGTCTCCGAAAATGACATGTACAAGCGGCCAGTTGCACGTCGACGCGTCTGTGAACACGTAGTACGCCTCGACCGCATTCCAGAACGTGTCAAAGTTGAGTCGAGGATCGGATGACGCCGACAGGGTGGTGAGCGTGTGGTGTACGTGCCGCCAAACGTTTCGAAGCAACATACTCCACAGCGTGAGCGCCACGACGCATATGCCACCGAGAAGAGGCATGTGCCGCCGCAGATGGCCCAAAGGACGGACGAATATGGACTCGACGCATTGCAATGGATACAGCACCACTGCATGCATCCACCCCCTACAAAACCCACTTGCCGCATAAGATAAAGCGGATCACGAGCAGCAGCATCGTACCGACGAGTGGCCTCGCATGGCGGGACCAACAGCACCACGAGGTTCTGCGCAAAGTCTGCTACGGCCCCCGTCGCTGCTTCAACGTGGCTGCACCGCCGACGCAGCATTGGTCTAACCTGCGACACATATTACTTCAATATCAGGTTTTCAAAAGTACTATATTTCACAGGTTTAACTCACGCCCGTACAACGAATTTAATTTCGAAAGAACATGTAAATGCTTCATGGCGACGGCATATTTTTGAATTTCGCCGTGCATACGTCATAACAAATTGATTTTTTAACAATTTCTATCTTGCCCAATTATGTTTCTCTGTCTGGATTATTCCGATATAAAAAGAAAATTGCTGCAAAAAAGAAAACACGAATTTGTGGTAAATTTGGCGCCAAGTTTACAATCACAGTAAGTATCGATAATCCGATGACAAAAGTGCCTACCTTCCAGTCATTGACGAAGCACAGAGAAAGCAACACTTGCTATGACCATCAGGATCACGAAGCTGGCCCCAGCGTGCCAACGCCTTAGTTTGAATCCATAGCAAACGGCTGACTCCTGGTTGCCGCCGCTGAGGATTTCACGGCACCGTGGGCCAGGTACTATCCACTGCAGGCTCAGCCTTGTGTCACCAAAATCTCTGACCATTACAACATGAGGAACGCCTTCTATACGAGTCCATATCGCTCTAGAAGCGCGTCTGTCGACGGCTGCCGACCACGGAAGCGCTTGAATGCTTCAATGGGATGCACGATTCCGAGATTCGAGAATACATTGTCTCGAAATGATCGCCCGAGCGATTTCCACCCGTCGACGTCAGTTGCCTCGACGGCTGCAAACGCGGCAAACGCGTCGGCTGCAAAGACTTCCGACCACACATAACTACAACCACACGACCCCGATCAACCACTCAAGCAACATCCCAGCACATGTGGCCGACGCACCTGTAGTACCCCGCGACGTATTCACCCGAGAAAATGTGGGGCAAGTTGCACAACCGAGTGTCTTCGACCACAGGGGGTAAAACTTCAAAC